AGACAATTAATTCATTTACGGAAATAGTAATGGATGTGTAAACCTCTATATCAGCGGTGTACACATCTGTTATTGTTTCCGCAGGTGAATTTAATGTCCCAACCTTTTTGAATGTTTTATATCTTATGACGATGTACATTTCTATCTTACGACATTGTACTCAATTTGTTTTGGACTGTCCAATCTTTTTTGATATGGGATATTTCTCCTCTATATATAAGAGATAATATTGTTTGGGGGCTGTAACTGATAATACAAACTACAAAAGTAAATAATGGCTTAATTTGTATAAACAATAACCGAAAAAGGAACATTTAGCAAAACGCAACTTGTTTGTAGTGAAATCATATATAATATTTAAAATCTTTGTTATCAATTAAAATTAATGTTTCGGCCGATATTTGACCTTCTTCAATATGTTATAATTGTATAATATTAAACACAACAATATCAGGTAAATTAAAGATTAAGAGAAGTTAAATATAAATTTAACGTATTATAGTCAATAATAGATTTCGATATTGAGTTAAAATACTATGTGTTATACGTAGGCTGCTAGAAAAGTTTCTGCAATCTACTATTTCCAGTGGCGCCAACGTTTTGCTACTATTATATCCGTAAAATTAAACGTTTTTAACCTATAATTCAATTGACAGTTTGTACGCAAGCCAACTAGTTTTGTTTGCATAGTATTTTAAAAGAAGTTATTTTGTAAGAAAATGGAAATTTCGCGTGAAAATTTTCGAGCAATGATTTTTTACGATTACAAGTGTAATCTAACTCCGAAACAATGCATCGATCGACTTCATTTGGCTTTTGGGGATGAAGCACCATCCAATAGGACTGTTTATAATTGGTTTGCCGAATTCTAGCGTGGACACCTTTCTTAATGATGAATTCCGTAAAGGTCGTTCATCCACGTCTGTTGTTGCCACTAATGTTGATGCTGTGCGTGAAATGATTGAGCGAGACCGGCATATAACATATCGCGAGATTCAGGCATCCTTAGGCATTGACATGAAAGCAATACATACGATTTTGCATGATTGCACTTGAGCGTACGGAAATTTTGCAGTCGTTGGATCCCCACACAATTTGACCGAAGCTCAAAAATAGGCTCGTGTTAAATGGAGCAAAGAAATGCTCAAGAAATTCAACCGAGGTCGGTCAAATTTGGTCTACAACATCGTTACTGGGGACGAAACATGGATCTATTCGTATGAGCCCGAAAGTAAACAACAATCCACTGTTTGGGTATTTCAAAATGAACCGAAACCAACAAAAGTTGTTCGTTTACGCAGTGCTGCCAAGCAAATAATTGCTTGTTTCTTCGATTATACCGGACATGTGACAACCGTGGCTTTAGAGGATCGAAGGACTGTAAATACTGATTGGTATACAACAATTTGTTTGCCAGAAGTCATAAATGAATTGCGTAGAACAAACCGAAATCGTCGCATCATCCTTCATCATGATAACACCAGCTGTCACACAGCACGTCAAACCATTGATTTTTTATCCAGTAATAATGTCGAATTGATGACTCATTGTTTGTATTCACCTGATTTATCACGTAATGACTTCTTTTTGTCCCCAAACATTAAAAATAAAATGCGTGGTGAGCGATTTGAGTCGCCTAAAGCAGCTGTTGAAACATTTCGTACACTGATTTCTGAGGTTACAGCCTTAGGAAAAAATGCTTCGAAAATTGGTTCGAGCGTATGTAAAAATGTATCGATCTTAAAGGCGAATATTTCGAAAAACAATAAAACCATTTACCGAATTTTATGTTT